GAAGATGGTGTGAATGAGAAGATTGTGTAAATGGGAAGATGGAGTGAATGGGAAGAGGGCGTGAATGGGAAGATAGTGTGAACGGGAAGATGGTGTGAATGAAAAGATTGTGTGAATCAGAAGATTGTGTGAATCAGAAGGTTGTGTGAATCAGAAGATGGTGTGAATGGGAATATGGTGTGAATGGGAAGATGGTGTGAATGGGAGAATGGCGTGAATGGGAAGATGGTGTGAATGGGAAAAATGTGTGAATGAGAAGATGGTATGAATGGGAATATGGTGTGAATGGGAAAATTGTGTAAATGGGAAAATGGTGTGAATGAGAAGATGGTGTGAATTGGGAAGCTTGTGTGAATGGGAAGATTGTGTGAATGGGAAGATGGTGTGATTGAGAAGATGGCGTAAATGGGAAGATTGTGTGTATGCGAAGCTGGTGTGAATTGGAAGATGGTTGTAATGGGAAAATGGTGTAAATGAAAAGATGGTGATAATGGGAAGATGGTGTGAATGGGAAGCTGGTTTGAATGGGAGGCTGGTGTGAATGGGAAGATGGTGTGAATTAGAAGATATTGTGAATGGAAAGATGGTGTTAATGGGAAGATGGTGTGCATGGGAAGATATATATAATTATAAGGATGATGGATGGGAGGAGGGTTTATATAAGGTGGGGAAATGAGATAGAAAACTCAATGAATATTTATGAGTAAAGATGGACTAATTGGTCCAAGGGTCCATTATACCATGACCTAGCCTAGGCTCGCACCTCACACATGCAGAGTGTCCCACGAAACTTGACAATAGAAAAATGACTTGAAGGACGTCGTAAATTTTTGAAATAATTTGCGGCATTTTTTCACAACCCTAGCTTCATATTTTCATAGAAGACCTTCATGTCGTCTTTCTACTGACAAGTTTCTTGGGACACCCTGTATATTTACAGTAGTGGACACATATTTCAGTGTTATTTCAAGGTTACATGCGGCCATTAAATACGAACATCCATTCTTAAATAGATAATCGTAAAAACCTTTTTGTCTCAAACTCTAATTTTCCAATCCCTGTATCTGTGCAACCAATGTCATAGACCTTAGATATATCAAAATATAATGAATTCTGTTAGATCAAATAAAGCTTGAAATAAATATGTTGCAAAGACTCAATTCCTTGACATTGCCCTGAGGCGATTGTAGGGTTAAGGCCGGTATAATTTCAAAATGTGTCACCTTTAAACATTTTTTTCGAAAAATTTAACAATCTTCTGACACCTTGCTTCTGACAAAAACATAAATATTTGATTGTTTTTATTGTTATAACATAAAAAATATTGCATAGATTATGTCACCAATTAGAAATTTACATTCTGTCAATTTTTGGAAAATAAAATATTTTTACAGTTGGAGGAAAAAAATCCCCCCCCCCCTCCAACCCACAGAAATGTACATTAAAACCTTGCACCTTATGTTTTATGAGTATAGAATTGAGCAGTTAAGGGAAAATGGTCCTGAGAGTCCAGTTTTATAAATCCTTTATGTTTCATTCTTCATTCTTCGGGCTTTAAAGAGAATGGACCTGAATTTTATTAAGGAGGGGAGTCTTAAAAATACAAGAAAAAAGACAATTTATCCCTAAGAAGTCTAAAATTCCAGATGCCCCCTCTATTACTAATATCTCGATGATCATGTTCTTTAACAGCTTGATATAAATCAAAATTGAAATCGTAAGTCTTCTTCATTGTTTTGATAAAATCGCCTACCACTGTACAGTTCACATACAGCGGGAATAGGAAAACGACTTTTAGACTTAAGTTATGACTATTAACTGCAGTCTAATGAATTTGAGGCACCACGATTGTGCACTGTGCAGTGTAAACGCGGAATCCATTTCACTAAAAAGTGATTTAATAATTTACTAGTAAAACTATTTGCTTCGTAAGTTGTAACAACATAAAATGCACTTAAAATTTTAATATTGTTTCAATTTTGTCTTTGTATTCCATAGCTAGTTTTCTGGTTCTCCTGTTAAAGTTCTAACGTCTTTAAATCTTTTTAGTTCAATATTTTATATATATGTAGTTTCATAGTCTGATTTGAAACAGGTTGAATCAAATAGGTTGTCAAGTACAATAGATGGCAACAGAAAAATCGACCAACTGCGCACAACGTCATATGTGTCAAATGAAAAACGAAAGACGACATGTCCTCTAATTAGTTGGTATTATTTCCAAGATTCGGTGGAGATAAATGTCGTCTTTGTAGGAATACGTAAAAAATATTTACAACTCAAAATTAGATAGAGTATTTTTACTGTCGTTTGGTGGCTTAATTTTTTGTCTGTATATCTA